GCTCTGCAATGGAGATGGAAAAATGATAATAGGGGACAAAGAAAAGGCAGAGGCACTCAATTCCTATTTTAGTTCAGTCTTTTCCCGTAAGGCAGACTATGAACTTCCAAACAAATCAGAAGTGCAAATGGTGTGTGTGTGTACAGGATTGCAGCTGGAGACAGATAAACAAATAGTCAAGGACTATCTTACCACCTTGAATGAGTTCAGATTTCCAGGGCTGGATGAACTGCATCTGAGAGTACTGAAAGAACTGGCTGAGGAACTCTCAGAACCGCTGTCCATTATTTTCTTGAAATCATGGGAAACGAGTGAGGTGCCAGAGGATTGGAGGAGGGCCAATGTTGTCCCTTTCTTCAAAAAGGGCAAAAAAAGAGAGGAACCTGGGAACTATAGGCCAGTCAGCCTGACATCAATCCCAGGCAAAATTCTAGAACACATCGTTAAGTCGTCATTGTGCAAGCACCTAGAAAACAAAGCAGTAATAACTAGAAGCCAACATGGATTTGTCAAGAACAAATCCTGCCAAACTAATTTGATCTCATGTTTTGATCAGGTAACCTCCCTGATAGACAGAGGGAATGCTGTAGACATAATATATCTTGACTTCAGCAAAGCTTTTGACAAAGTGCCCCATCACATCCTGATTAGCAAGCAAACTAGGTGTGGGCTGGATAGATCAGATGTCAGTTGGATACACAATGGATTACAGAATCGTACTAAGAGGATGATGATTGGAATTGTCATAGATCACAAGCTAAATATGAGCTCAAGAAGGATGCTAACAAACTGAAACAAGTTCAGAGGAGGGCAACAAGAATGATCAGGGGGCTGGAAACCAAGCCTAATGAGGAAAGGCTGAAATAATTGGACATGTTTAGCCTTGAGAAAAGAAGACTGAGGTGTGATATGATAGCACTATTCAAATATTTGAAAGGCCGTCATACAGAGGAGGGGCAGGATCTGTTCTCCATCATCCCAGAGTGCAGGGCACACAACAGTGGGTGCAGGTTACAGGGAGCCAAATTTCAGCTGAATAGCAGGAAAAACTTTCTGTTAGAGCAGTACGACAGCGGAACCAGTTACCTCGGGAGTTGGTGAGTGTTCCAATACTGGAGGCATTCAAGAAAAACTTAGATAATCACCTGGCAGATATGCTTTGATTGTATTCCTGCACTGATTGGACCTGATGGTCTTGTAGGTCCCTCTCAACTTCACTTTTCTATGATTCTACGAAGCAGGCATACTTTGGATTTTGTCAATATGGACTCCTTATCTGTCCTTCCCATAATACCATCTTCATACAAGTTGGTTTATGAACAGTATTATTTGTTGCAGTTTTGAATGTTTGGTAAAAAATTCATTTTGCTATGCAGTAGAAATACAGAGACTCTGCTGGAGTTTTTGCAACCTTACATACTGCCTTTAACAGGCTTAGCTGGGAGGGATTTTTCTGAACTGGGGTTTACCGAGGATGTTTTTTTTTAATATAGAAAAATTAAAGAAATGAATAATCCCTTTAGAATTAATATGTTGGAAAGAGTACAGGAAAATGATAACTCTGTTGATCTCCCCCAATGAGTCTGGTGGTAGAATTAAATAATTTTCCAGAAAGTTTAAGGAATATTAAGAATATATTGATCAAGAAGGGAATTATAAAAATAAGACAATAGGAAGAGCATGGACAGAGTTCCTACTCCAGTCCTCTGAAGATGCCGGCCACAGAGACTGGCAAAATGTAAGGAAGAACAACCTTCAGAACACAGCCAAAGAGCCCGAAAAACCCACAACAACCAAGCAAATAAGAGTTACCCTGGGAAGAGAGGGGATTTCTTGGTCAAATTTATTACAATTGGACAATAGGATAAAAGAATGGAATGCTAAGCAAGGAGAGTGAAGACTACTGATAAAATTTGAGGAAATAATAGGAAAAAAAGAGAGAAACTTGAAACCTGTGAGAATATTTATTTATTTATTAGAGTTCTATTCCACCCATCTAGGTCGAATATTTATTTATTTATTAGATTTCTATCTCACCCATCTAGACCCAAGGTCAGCTCTGGGTGGTTTACGAATTTAAAAACAATAGAAGGGGTACTATAAGTAAATAACCCGGGTGGTTTACGAATTTAAAAACAATAAAATAGAAGGGGTACTGTAAGTATAATAACCAAGATGCTGACACAGGCGGATAACAATAGCTTTAAAGAAAGTATAAGGAAGTATAAGGAAGACTTAGCTCAGGAAATTAAGAGGAAAGATTGGAACAGAATGTGGAATAAGAGGATAAAGAAAAATATGCCAAGAAGGCTTAGAGAAAATTGCTATAAGATTGCATGGAGATGGTACTTGACAACTGTGGAAATGAATTTGATAAAGGAAACAGTATCGTCTTTATGCTGGGGACGTAAAATGAAAAGGGGACATACATATGTGGTGGTCTTGTGAAAAGAGAAAAAAGAGTGGTTGCAATTTTTTAAAGAAATAAAAATTGTTAGTAATAATAAATTAAGTTGGGAAGAAAAATAATTAATCATTACAGTGACCGTAGCAAGGTTAATTATTGCAAAGAATTGGAGATACAACAGTCAGTTTAGCACAGGAGATTAGTATAAAGAAATGTGGAACATAGCTATCAATTATAAACTAACCTGTGAGCTTAAAATAAGAAAAGAAGCATCATGCTTGAATGATTTTAGAGACATGTGGAAGCCATTCCTGATACATGTATTTGTGAAAGGGAAGGATTTCACCCCCAGTGAGGACGTACTATATTTCTGGAGAGAATTGGAGCAATAATACAATAGGTAATAATAAGCAAGTAAATAACAATATAAATCAACATGTGAATAGACTAATAATCCCAAGGGTGAAGGGAGCACAAGATTACACAAGTATGTCTAATTCTATTTCTTCTTTCTTTTTCAGGTTAATGAAATTGCATGATACTTTGGGTGTGTTTTGTTTATTGAGTCTGCTGTTAATAAATTTTGTTTGAAAAGAGAAATCTTACTGTGAGAAGACAAGAATAATCTTTCTCCTCCTGCAGTTAGTGAGAGAAAGAGTTAGTGGCTGAACAATTCTCATCTCTCTAGAATCAGTGTGGGCAAAGCTGTTGCAACATAAGCAGTGGTGTGGGATGCTGGAAGCCAAAAGGCCTGCATTTAGAGTTGAAACTTACTGTAGTTTCTATGGACGGAAAAGAGCAGATACGGATTAAATGGTTTTCAATGCATTCCTATGGGAAATGCAGATTCAACATAAGAACTTTTCAACTTGAGAACCACCTTCCAATACAGCTTAAGTTCTTAAGTAGAGACCCCACTGTATACCCCAGGGGTTCCTGGATCCATGGTGGTGGACACTGGGACTGCTTCCATGCAGTATTTGCTTTCCAAACAGGACAGAAGTGAGGGAAAGCTTATATCTACATTTGCTTTACATCCATTTATCGTGGCTCTCACCTTACTACACACAGCAAAGCAACAACAACAAAAAAACCAACAACATGTATGGAAGAAAAGAATGATCAGCCATCAAGAGGAGAAAAATAATCCAGCAAAGAACCCTCCCCTCCCTCCAAATATATATTAATGTCAGAGCAAGAGGTTCTGAGAAAAAGGAAAACGGAAGCTTTTTTCAGTTTAAAGAACTCTTCCTTTTTGTGTGTGTGTTAACTTTGTTTTGCAATTAACCCTTGAGCAATTTTTTGCTGGCTTCCAACAAGACTACCTTGTTCTCCCGCTTCGTTCTATGCCTCCTGCCTTGTCTGCCTGCTGACCACCATCACTGCCACCGCAAAAGATTTCCCCAAGTACATACAGTACATCAAGGGAGACTGTCAAGCACAGTGGAGCAGTCCAGAGGTTCACTCCCAAGTGGGCAGCTAGTTAAATATTGTGGTTAAATGATTCAATATTTGGGGAAGTGAAAGAGAGATCACATTAAACGGGATGAAAGTTGTTCCCTTAATCCCTGCAGTTCCTTGTTTGGTGAAATACCCAAGCAGTGCTCAGGATGTGATCAGATGGCGAGAAAGGTGCACATCGGATCACACCAAAAAGGGTTGCTTTTTTGGGGAGCAATCTCCCTTAATGTCACTCTCCCAGGGAATCACTCTAGTTCTGTGCCCAAAATTAGTAGCGCTACTGCTGGGCTAAAAAGATCCAGCTTGGGCATGGATCAGGGTCTGGTTGGAGCACTATTCGCTGTACACTGTGTGGTTGCTGAGAAATAGCTTGTACTGGACTGTGCCAACAACAATCCAAAATGCAAGCTATATGCCTGGGTCATCCCACGCTCAGGCAGTCTGCCAGCTTCAAGGTGGTCCCAACAGCTCACTGGACCATAAGGTAGTCAGAAGATACAGCACCAAGGACAGCTCCCAGTCAGTGCCTTTGTTCCAACAACAGTCTTAGTGGAACTGATGCCTCTTAAAACTGTATTGTTAATTCAGATCTACGCCTTCTAGACTTCAAGTCACCCAATCATGTGGCAAGCCTGAGAAGAACAAGTATGTGGTTCGAAGCCTGGGAACTGACCTCTCTCGGAGTTCTTGTTGGGCATGCTGCTTGGGGCAGGTATACTGGCTTGTGTAATCATGGCACTCTTAGATGAGGTGGTTTGTCCCAGTGGTGGAAAGTCCAGAAGATGCTAAGGATGGTAACAGCAGAGTAACCCCAAGTTGAGGGTCTTGAGTCTGGCCAGCTCCAAGCTATCTGGGTCCAAAGGTTGTAGAATGTCATACGTGGCTGGCTTCAAGATGGGACCTGGATTAGTTCACTGACTCTTTAGCCTCCAAATCTGATTCCGGTGTACTTCTGGACTCATGGAATGTAATGATTCAGTTGAAAAAAGATGTGAAATTTCCCTGAACTTGAAATTAAGCTTATAAATGTTGTTTGCTATGTGTAATCAAGGGGGAACCAACCTATAGCATCCCCCATAGGTCTTTCAGGGTAAGTGAAATGTTTAAGGAGTTATATCCTGTGTACAAAATCTTTAATAAATGCTCATTTTTAATGAAAGGCAGTTCGATTTTCCAAATGGTTCCTCTTTAAAGATGTCTGCATCCTAAATGACTTTAACAATGTTAAAAACTACTTTATCAACACATCTCCTCACATCCCTGTATGATGTTTGGCCTAATTTGCAATGCACACAGTATTTAACTAAAAACACCTTCTGATATTAGTTAAGAAAGCTCTTTCATCTGGACACCCATATTCTGTCTTCATGCAGTTGGGTCAGCAGTAAGAGAGGGCAGAGTTAAATTGAGGGAAGAACAAGGATCCTCGGGAGCCACCTGCGTCACAGTCTTGTCAGATGTCACGTGCTGATAAACCACCACAATCTGAAGAAAGGAACAGACCAGAAAGACAATCAGCCTTGGACTCATTTACTCCACATCTAAACAACAGGACAGTGCTAGTTTGTGCTGATCAAGTTATGCTCCTTGGCCTTCCTTCACAATATATTGACTTTTCTACAGAACTACTTTAGATTTCCCAGACTGTGCTTGTTGATGGACAACAAATAAACAAGGAAGGATTGCTAGGTGGACCTTGCCTGTTTCCATCCATAGTCATTTGGAGTGGTAAACAGCTAACAAGATGGTGGTAACAACTGAGTCCTGATTAGATTCCGCATAGCGAGGGTTAATCCGGAACGGATTAACCTCGCTATGCGGGGCACCACTGTATTGACTTTTCTACAGCACTGCTTTAGATTCCCCAGACTGTGTTTGTTGATGGACAACAAATAAACAAGGAAGGATTGCTAGGTGGACCTTGCCTGTTTCCATCCATAGTCATTTGGAGTGGTAAACAGCTAACAAGATGGTGGTAACAACTGAGTCCAGATTAATCAATTTAAGCAACAACGTTCAACGTGTATGTATCACAAGTCTACACTGAACCCCAAGCTAAAAGAAAGGAACTGAAGATAATTTCTTCTCACATCATTTCCTTTTTCATTTCTTAGTGTTTCTCATTCCACCTTCCTTTTCTGTCAAAGAATTTTTTGCAATTGTCACAAAACATTACAAAATAACAGCAGAGTTGCTAGTGGGACCCACTGCGCATTAAACACAATCCAAAAGTGATTTATAAATGTCCTAGCCTCTTGAAGATCGTAAAACAGATTTCTCTTCATCATGCCTTCTATATGTGCCAGAATGCAACTCTCAACACCATTTGATCATTGTCACTGGTCATGCTACCTGGGGACAATGGGAATTGTTTTTACCCTCCAAGAATATAACCCTCCCAATGTTCATGTTCATATTGGCTTTTCTTTGGACAGCTATCATTTAGGTCTGCGAGCATCAAATGCATATAGGTGTAGATAAAATGGTTTCGGGGAGCCACCAGAGTACAGACACTCCTCCAACCCATATTAATGCCCCAATCAGTTTCCTCCAGAGGTGGCACACAACGACAACTGACAGTATCTCAGCACTTTTTGGAGATCATAGGGAGAAGCTAAGTCACAACTTAATTTCTTCCAGCGTGTAGAACGTGGGAGAGGAGACAGGAAAATATAAGCAGGACTTTGGTAAAGAATTGAACATTGAAATGAAATGGAGCCCAGCACAGAAGCTGATATCCATGGTGCTCAATGGGAACACTACACACCATGAGTGGAAAAGGACAGGTTGGTCAAGGAACATCTGAGGAAGGAGAAACCCATCTGAGGTATGTGTGATAAGTGGCTTACCAATGTCATACAAACATATACCTCTCATGATTTTCCATGCTGAGCAGAGACTTGAAATCTGCTTTCCAAAATCTTAATCTGACACTCTATCTACAACAAACAGCTACTGTAGCTCTCAATGGTCTAATTTAGGGGTCTCCTAACTATGGCCCATGGGCCATGTCTGACCTGTTGAACATTGAAATGAAATGGAGCCCAGCACAGAAGCTGATATCCATGGTGCTCAATGGGAACACTACACACCATGAGTGGAAAAGGACAGGTTGGTCAAGGAATGCCTGAGGTCGGAGAAATCCTAAGAGTTTCTGAGGTATGTGTGATATTTAGAAAGTGGCTTACCAATATCATACGAACATACGCCTCTCATGATTTTCCATGCTGAACAGAGATTTGAAATCTGCTTCCCAAAATCCTAATCTGACACTCTGTCTACAACAACAGCTAGCTCTCAATGGTCTAATTCAGGGGTCCCCAAACTACGGCCCATGGGCCACATCTGGCCTGTCTTGCCGTTTTATCCAGCCCATTCCCTTCAGCCTGTGCACTGGGGGGGGCGGAGAGGGGCATTCATGCAGGCGTCCGTCCGCCTGTGCAGGGGGAGAGCACACGAGGGGTGCATGCGTGTGTGCATGCGTGTGTGTGGCCGTGCACACATTCCTGTTCCTTCGGCCCTCAAAAATGTTGAAAATATAAGATGTGGCCTCATGGTCAAAAGTTTGGAGATCCCTGGTTTAATTATGTGCTGGTCATGTTGGAACTGATTTATAACAACCCTAACAGAGCTCTCAAGGCAAGTGAAATATTTAAGGAGCAGCTTTGTCAGCTCCCACCCCACCCCTCCCCAGTCAGTTTCCATGGCTGACTAGGGATTCAAAGCATAACTCCTGAGTGTCTGTCACACTACCTACTACATTTTATTTATTTATAGATGTTGACTTACAATAAACAATCTGTAGGAAAACAGGGCCTGCTCCTGGACCTCTAGGTCTAGTTTGACTACAAACACCATTCTGTTCTCTAAGGCTTTCATGGCCAGGATCCGATGGTGATTGTAAGTTTTTCATGTTCCCCAGAACACAGCTAAACAGCCCAAAAAACCTACAACAACCAAACACCATTCTCTTTTGAATGGTTACCGTGTCTGGGTAGTTGTCCCGGCACAGAGTTTCGCACCCAAAGGCAGAAGAAGAGATGGTAATGCAGAATTCAATCACGTTGAAAGCCAGGAGGATGGCTGTTACTCCATATGCAGTATTCTGTCAGCAAAAATACCAGTGAAAGGAGTCACATTGCAGAGTGAAACGTACACGCAGATCACATCTGAGGTTATGGCACCTGAATGCACGATCCATTGAAAAACAGCTAAGCATGAGCTGGATATCTCTGGCATTTGGTGTAGGATGAAGAACACTCAGTGCATAGCCAGGATTGCAATCATTACAGTTGTACCCCGCTGGATGATTACCCTGCTCTACGATGAATTCGCTTTACGTTGACATTTTTGCGATCGCAAAACAATGTTTTAAATGGTTTTTTTTTGCTGTGCGATGATCGGTTCCCTGCTTCAGGAACCGATATTCGCTTTACGATGATCAGCATGCAGCTGATCCTCAGGTTTCAAAATGGCCACCGGCTGAAGAAAATGCCCCCCCCCCCGCTGTTTTCTAGGACGGATTCCTTACTTTACAGGCACCGAAAATGGCCGCACAGAGGCTCTGGAACCTTTGGACGAGGGAGCAGAAGTGAGTCTCTTGATCACAAGCCACAGGACTCCACCCGGCCTTGCCTTTCTGTAAGACTGGGGTGAGCAACCTCAGTGGGCCCAAGGATCTTTTTTCAGAATACACTTCTCCCTTGAATTGCACGGGCCCAAGAAGCATATGGGTTTGGTTATACATGGATAATTTTTCAATTAAAAAACAAACATACATTCAATAAATACTGTGTGCCTAGACGCACATAACCCCTTGAGTTCAACACTGAAGGTGTTAAAGTGATTTAAAAGGTAACGGTAAAGGTTCCCCTTGACATTTTCAGTCCAGTCGTGTCCGACTCATCCCATTTTCAAGACGTAGAGCCAGCGCTTGTCCGAAGACAGTTTCCGTTGTCATGTGGCCAGCATAACTAGGGAACACCGTTTTGCCTTCCCACCGAGGTGGTACCTATTTATCTACTCGCATTTGCCTGCTTTCGAACTGCTAGGTTGGCGAGGAGCTGGGACAAAGCGAAGGGAGCTCACTCCGTCGCGTGGATTCGATCTTACGACTGCTGGTCTTCTGACCCTGCAGCACAGGCTTCTGCGGTTTAGCCCGCAGCACCATACGTGCTCCCAAACACAATATCTCTAATTCACCCTCTAGATCAGTGGGTCACGAGGACCTCTAAGGGTCATTTTACACAGTATTGTATGGAAAGGACTGTAAGCGCTATGGAAGAGAAACTGATAGGGAGAATGTCTCTCTCTCTCTCTCTCTCTCTCTCTCTCTGTGTGTGTATGTGTGTGTGTGTGTGTGTGTACGTGAGTGAGTGAGTGAGTGAGAGAGAATATCAACAGTTAATGCTTGTAGTAATGCTTTTGGAGGCATAAGAGGTATACATGGATTTTGAACTACACAGGGGCCTATTATCCCCAGCCCCAGGAATGTTGAAAGGAGAAATTGTTTTAAATATTGTTTAATATTTAAGAGCACAGAGGTGAACAGAAGCAGAAGAGACCTAAAGAGGCTGCCATCATCCGTTTGAACAAGTAACATAGCATGCACTTACATTAATGGCCTGGTGACGTTCAATGCACAGAATTTCATCCAGTCCTGGTGTGCATGGATCACTGCTATACCATTTTGGTTGAAAATGCATCACAGTAAAAACGAGGGCTATGATCCCAACGGAAGCTGCCACAGCACTTACGACATTCATTCCCAGCATGCCTTTCACCTAGTGGAGACAAAAAGTGTACTGTACCGTTCTTTCATCATGCAACCTTGGATCCCTCATGGCTTAGAGCAGGGGTGTCCAACCTTTCACCTTCCATGGGCCACATTAGAAGATGGGCCCCTCTACTGTTGTGACATGCCCCAGCCACATTCCGGCCGCAAGCGCCGGCAGTGTATCTTGAAACTTTGGAATTTCTTTAAAAATAAGAAATTGCACTGGGCCGCATTATGAGCTGACCTGGGCCGCATGTGGCCCTCGGGCCGCAGGTTGGACAAGCCTGGCTTAGAGCTCTCTGAGAAAGGGGAGGAGAATGACCTTGAAGGATCTGACAGGATCAGAGGGGTGAGACGGGGGTGGCCATTGTTCACAGGGATTGGCATCCATATTAACAGGATGGCTGCACTTTCAAGTTGGGGGCTAGAGTGTTTGTACCTGATGGTGGGGCTCCGGGACAGATTTGGGGCAGTGCTGGCGTGCTGCTCTCCCCGTAACCCAGCAGTCTCTCTCCCAGAACTGGCCAAGTTCCTTCCAGCTGTGATGTGGAGGTCGCCTAAGTGCTATGGGGTGGTATATAAGCAGCACACTTTGCTTTCTGCTGTGCTTTGTTAAGGGAGGCTGACAGGGGAAGATCTACCCTGTTAGTCCTCCTGGATCTTTCAGCAGCCTTTTATACTGTCAATCATGGTATCCTCCTGGATAGGCTCTCAGAGGCGAGGACTGGGGTATTAGCTCTGAACTGGCTCCAGTCTTTCCTTGAGGGCTGTGTCCAGAGAATTCAGTTTGGGGATGAGTTGTCAGCCCCTTGAATCCTTTCTTGCGGGCTGCCCCAGAGTCATCCACATCCTCCATGCTTTTCATCACCTATGTAAAACTGTTGGGGTCACGAGGAGAAAGGGATGATCAGTATGCTCCTGATTTGCAACTCCATCTCTCCTTCGTCACGTTTGCAGTGGATGCCGTCCAGACCCTTGAGTAATACCTGGATTCAGTCTTGGAATGGACCAGGGCTAACAGGATCAAATTGAACCTGGATGGTGGAGATTCTGTTCCTGGGCGATCCCTTGGCTAGACTGCCTGAAGCGTGTCCAGAGCTGCCTTTAATCATCAGAGGCAATATTGCCCAGCTCCATTCCAACCTGGTCAGGGGAGCAGTTAGGACTTTGGTGCAGGTACTGGTAATCTCCCGTATTGACTACTGCTATGCTCTCTACAGGGTGCTTCCCTTGAGTCTGACCTGTAGACTTCAATTACTTCAGAAGCAATTGGTTCCCAACATTTAAGAGAGTTCTAAAAACATTGCTGTTCAGAGAAGGCTTCTATGATATCACTGCCTGATTCTGTATCTGATCTTATGCCTCAAGTTCCACCTATCGGATATTAAGTTTCTTGTATTACGTTTCATAGTCTCCTGGTTTTACCAATAACCCTATTTAGAGACTGGAAAACTGGTGTGTGTGTGTGTGTGTGGAAATATATAAATTGATGGGAAATATATACATTAATCAAACAATAAATAATAATCTTCCCTGATAGCGTATCTCCTGGAGATTAAATTCTTAGACCCCTTTATCTATATACCTTTAAAAAAAAACAGTTATTGAACCTCAGACCTGGAATGAGCAACATAGACCTTCTGAGGTTATATCCAAAGGCTATGTATTCCAAATTCCCTTTTCTTCTCTTCATAGAATTATGTTCCACCAGTCATCAATACTGTTTAGAAACAGAATGCGTTACTTTAATATTGGGCCCTTTTGGATCAATTCTCTGGGATTTCTACTGAATCCTACAGTATCAGTGTCTTGAAAACCGCAGCTGTCTAAGACAGGTTACTTCTGGACTGCTTAAACTCAGCTTCAGGTTATCCTCTGCAACGGACAACTTTTGAAAGGGCCTTAATGTATCTCCTTCTGGCTTAGGGTCTTCACCTTCTTCTGTAGACAACCCAACCTGAGAAATTTGTGGGAGGCTCTCTTCATCGCCGTAAGAAATCCCAGCATCCTCACACAGAGGTGGGAGAAAGCCCTACCCAAAGCCATGAACAGCTCTTGTGGGTCAGGCTTGACGGTAACAGGCTGGATAGACTGATGGTCTGACTCAGTAGGTCAGTTTTTTCTGACCCCAAAAGTCATACTACTGCTTCAGTAAGAGCTTGTCGTTACTTGTTAGTTACTTCAGTTAGAGCTTGTTGTTACTTGTCAGTTGTCGTTACTTGTTAGTTGCTTCAGTTAGAGCTTGTCGTTTAACTATTTAGGCTCAAAGATAACTTTGTCCCTCAAGAAATGGAAACTTGCCTATGGAAACACTTGGGTTTCCATTGGCTTTTCCTTGCTCATCTATCATCATCATCATCATCATCATTGAACCGCAGAAATGGAAGGGACTTTATGAATCACTGAGTTCAACCCTTGTCAAGGAGGCAGAGTGGGGAACTGAACTCCCAACCTTTGGCTCTTCAGACAGATACGGCTTAAGGGGAACCACATTGTATAGAACAGCCCCAACAACAGTAACAGTTGAAATAGAAACAGGAGGGCTGAGCCTCCTCTGAGCTCCCATTGATCCCAGGTCAAAAACATTTGAAAGATTGAAAACTGAGGATCACCACTGCTGTCTCATGAGCTTCATCTTGTCCAAATGCATGACAAATTTTTAAAGAAGTGTACTTACCAGTGGTATCCTGGGGTTCTTGGCAGCTGCAACAGACAGAGCTCCTGAAATGAGGTACTAAAAGAGATGGGAAAAGGAAGACGAAAGGAGGAATAATTAAAAATAAACCAGATTTTTTCCCCCATACTTCCAGGTCTTTCTAATAGATCAGTGGTCCCCAACTTTGGAAAATCCAGATGTTCTTGGACTGCAACTCGCAGAAGACTTCACCACCAGCTCTGCCAGCTGCGATTTCTGGGAGCTGCTATCCAAATACATCTGGGTTACTCAAGGTTGGAAAACGCTATATACTAGATCATAAGCAGCAAACCCCAGACGTTGCCTAAAATGTCTCAGGCCATGAGCTGATCAAACATTGAGGCCACATTATGTGATCAGGAAGACAAATTTAGACTTCCCAGAGGCTTGGTCTTCCTGAATTTTGGCCAATGGGACTGGTTGGAGATCCATAACGACTTATTTATTGTAGTGCTCATGTGTTCTTTGGGTCTCCATACGCATTCTCCTAGCCAGATAGCTAAACTCACACACAATAAAAGTTGAGAAATAAAGAACCTTGCCTATTTTCACCAGCTTTGGGACAGTAGCTAGTCATGAAGGTCAGTACTGAACTAAAGAAGAAGAGAATGAATAGTTGAAACTAATCCTGGGGCAAAGGAATGTTAAGCTCGAGGGGAAGCTGGTCCATTAGGCCAAATGGCACACCTCAATGGGGTTCAACCCAATGCTTAACCAGTAGGGTGGTTCAATAAGAATTAGGGTCATTAGGTAGCAGCAACTCAGCAACAGCAAAGGTTTTGGTGCCAGTGGAATTACAACAAAGATCACAGTGCCCGACCTCAGGTTATCCCCAGTCAGCCCACACATGACTGCTTCCTTATTGCTGAACCCCATGATGCTCTGTGGGAGAGGGTGGGTAAGGCAAAAAAAATATGAGAGAATGTATGTGCGTGAGTATGTCAATAGACTGGGTTTGAAAACAGGCACAATGACAATAATGGACAGCAGACACCACTGGCAGAAGGACATGAAAAAGTGGTGAAAAGACCAGACCCTCCCAACTGATGGAATTCAGCAAACTGCATGTTATGCCTTTAAGAGATTTGGAAGGGAGGAACTTTGTGATGAATGTCAACCATCTTTTTACTCAGTCAAGGTTCTGTATCATTTAGCAATATCAGTGTTCTGCGAGTGTTAGCCGTTGGAATCTGAGTGAAATGTTTATATAACCGGTCAGTCAAATAATCAAATTAACCAGTTAGGATTTCATACTACGTAACAGGTATTTCCTATTCTGACATATATGAAGATTTGTATTTATGAAGATTTGTATTATATTCTGACATATATGAAGATTTGTATTTATGACATATATGAAGATGTGTATTTCCTATTCTGACATATATGAAGATTTGTGAGTAAAACAGAAAAAAATTAATTATTTTTCAACAACAGGGACTCTGACTAAATCTGTTGAGACTATATAGCCAGTTGAGATAAAACAAACTAACAATAAGGGGCGGTAAATATGTAGAAGAATTATAATTATATAACAATCTACTCTGTAGGTCCCTGTCTAGATTTTGCTGTATTGTGTATCTGGAGGTTTTAAGACAGCAATTTCCACACACTGCCAATACAGATTAGAATCAGTTTAGCTTTAGGCCAGATTGAGGAGATTTCCCAGGAGAACCAAAGAAGCATAACACTAACAGCCAAGCTTGATCAGGTTGCTAACAAGAAGTGAGATAGTTATGGCAGGCTTAGAAGGCAATATGACACATGACAGAATGCTTAGCTAGGGCCAGAAGCATTGGCAGGCTCTCTCTCTCCTCCTGCAACTTGAAGATATGCCCCCAGAAAGTTGCTGTGGAGAGAACTGGAGTTAGAGACATGACCTGTGAGACAAAGCCAACTGAGCAATCCTTCTTCTAAGGTGGACCTTATTCATCTATAGTTTCGATGCACTATTATGTTGAATTACCAAGATGCCAGTCCAGTATGGTGTTTTCGTGGAAGCGTACTCACTAACCCAGCCATGGGAGATGTCCAACACAATCCCAAACGCTATCACCGTAATTCCTATCAAAATCTGTGTGATCTGCAAATATAGCAAAGAACAAGGAGACTTGGTTTAGGCAAAATGAAAGTTCGGGAATGAAATAAGGGCATAAAAAAATTTAAATGTTGTGTATTGTCAATGTTTATAGGTGACCCTATGAACGAGTAACCTCCAAAATATATCACAAAGAGCCCTGTTCAGCTTTTGCAAACCCAAAGCTGTGGTTTCCTTTATGGAGTCAATCCAGCCTATATTTGGTCTCCCTCTCTTCCTGTCACCTTCAACTGTTCCTGGCCTTTTCATATTGGCTTCTCACGATGCGCCCAAAGTACAACAACCTCAGTTTTGTCATTTTGGCTTTTACAGAAGCAAATGTTAAAGTGGATTAATATAAATGAATACAGTATAAATATGAATTCGTATCTGTATAAGAAAGCCAGTGTATTCTTGTGGATAGACTGTTTGACTGGGACCCATGAAATCTAGGTTTGAATCTCTGCTCAGCCATGAGAAATTGTGGGAGAGGGGCAATGACACCTAGGCCACAAATATCTCACATACCTTGAAAATCCTACTATGTTGGAGGTGATCAAGCGTGGTGTAGTGGAGAGGACTCTGGATACTAGGACTCTGGAGACCGGAGTTTGAATCCCCACTCAGCCATGGAAGCTCACTGGGGGAGTGAAACTGGTATAAACACTCCTTAAATATCTTTCTTACTTTGACAGCCCTCTCACCTAGGCCACAAATATCTCACATACCTTGAAAATCCTACTATGTTGGAGGTGATCAAGCGTGGTGTAGTGGAGAGGACTCTGGATACTAGGACTCTGGAGACCGGAGTTTGAATCCCCACTCAGCCATGGAAGCTCACTGGGGGAGTGAAACTGGTAAAAACACTCCTTAAATATCTTTCTTACTTGGACAGCCCTCTTAAGTCAGTTCTGACTTGACAGGACATAACTAACTAACTAAAGTGACTTGATGGGATGTAATAAAAGCACAGCTATGTGTATCTATTTATCTGTTGATTCATTCATAATACTATGCCATTCCTCCATGGAGCACTGAGTGGTGTGCTTGGATCCTGTCCTTGTAAGAATCATGGGTTAGGTGGAAACAGAGTGACTGTCCCATAGTCACCAGGTGAGTTTCAAGGTTCAGCAGGGACTTGAATCCAAATCGGCCACGTCTCAGTCCAAGCTTGTAACCACTACCACACACAGCCTATACAGTGGTGCCCTGCATAGCGACAATAATCCATTCCAGAAAAATCATCGCTATGTGGAATCGTCGCTATACGAAACAAAAAAGCCCATAGGGATGCATTAAAACACATTTAATGCATTCCTATGGGCAAAAAACTCACTGTTATGCGAAAATCCTCCATTCGGCCACCATTTTCGCTGCCCGGTAAGCGAGGAATGGGTGCAAAAACACAGCGGGCGGCCATTTTTTTCCCCGGCGGCCATTTTGGAACCGCTGATCAGCTGTTAGAAAAAACATCGCTATGTGAAAATCGGTAAGCGAAACAGCTTACCGACCATCACAAAGCGATTTTTTGCTATCTAAATCATTGCAATGTGATCGTTTTTGCGATCGCAAAAACTTAATCGCTATGTGAATTCGTTGTTAAACAAAGCACTAGTTATGCGGGGCACCACTGTATTCTCTACCACTTGTTATAGTGAAGAGGTCCAAAGAACAAACAGTGGTGGAATGAGTAAGTTCAAAGGTTGTGGCAAGCAGAGGAGTTCAGCTCTGCTGCAACCCTATTGATACACAGAGAGAGAGAGAGAGAGAGAGAGAGAGAGAGAGAGAGAGCGAGCTCCTCTTAAGTGTCAAATGTGCCTGCTTGCCCTAAAACAGGATTTCACAACTCCCTAATTTACCAAATTAACTTGTTGCCTTTTGTGACTGGTCATCAGGAGGTAAACATGGGTGTCATTAGCAATTCTAATGCTTAGGCACAGAGCTCTGTGGGAATCGCACCCCTGGAGGACCAACATGCTATTGAAAAACCTACAACAACCAACAGAATTTTAAATAATAATTCCAGAGGGAAACAGCAGAAGAAGAATACATCAAGAGTTCAGCTCTTGACTTGAACAAAGACAAGGGCTTTTATTCAGTACCTATATTAATCGGACCATCCTTGCAGATTTAGACAAACCTGCATGGATGAGATGATTACTGTATTACTACTCCACCTCAATCATTTTTCCAACAGGACCAAGAGACAAATGGGTTACTTCTCAGGTAAAACAGACACTCTCTTGAAAGTAGAAACTACTATTTTAACACTTCAGAGGGTAATTGATTTAGGCAACTGACCTTACTGTTGCCAGGATGTTTATATGAATCAGTCCTTTATGTCAGTTCAGGGCCAGTATTAACAATTATCAATTTCTGTACATCATTTCATTTGGTATGTCTGTTTCTACAACCAGAGCCAGCTTGTGGTTTGAATCCTGCATGTGTTGATTTGCCTCTGAAAAACACACCTTTTGCTGCAACATGCAACAGGATTTCAGCCAAGGTGATGCACACCATGTCATAGTCGTTTGAGTTGTAGAGAACCCTCTGACAGTGGTTAAACTGCAGCACTCCAGTCAAACCTCTGCTCATTACCTTAGTTTGATACCAAAAGGTTAAGGTAGCTAACTCAGAGTGGACTCAACCTTCCTTCCTTCTGACATTAGTAAAATGAGTACCAAACTCATGCTGTGTGTGTGTGTGTGGAAGTGTTTCTTACTTAATTATATTAAAACTACCCCAAGAATGATCTAGAATTATGGGGTGGTATATAAGGTGTGTTGCTTCCATATACAGTGGTGCCTCGCTTGATGATGTTAATTCGTTCCAGCGAAATCGCTGTAGAGTGAAAACGTTGTCAAACGAAATTAAAAAACCCATTGTAATGCATTGAAAACCATTCAATGCGTTCCAGTGGGCTGAATACCTGCTTGTCCAGCGAAGATCCTCCATACGGCGGCCATTTCTGGTGCCTGTATACTGAAAAATAAGTCCTAAAAACAGCGGGGGAGGGGCATTTTCTTCAGCCGGCGGCCATTTTGAAACCCGACGATCAGCTGTTTGCTGATTGTCGTAAAGCGAAAATCAGTTCCCGAAGCAGGGAACCGATCATCGCTAAGCAAAATTCCCCCATTTAAACCATCGTTTTGCGATCGCAAAAGCGATCACAAAAACCTAATCGTGAAGCGGATTCATCGTTAAACGGGGTAATCGTCCAGCGGGGCGTGATTGTATGTGGGAGAAACAACAACAAAAATGATAATCCTAGGCAAATTTCTTGCAACGAATGTTATTTTTTTTATTAAGGAGCCCCATGTTTACTCAGGATATAGTTTGACAACGCTACTTTGTGTGGAAGGAGCATCACTAAGCAAAATTCCCCCATTTAAACCATCGTTTTGCGATCCCAAAAGCGATCGCAAAAGCCTAATCGTGAAGCGGATTCATCGTTAAATGGGGTAATCATCCAGCGGGGCACGACTGTATGTGGGAGAAACAACAACAAAAATCATAATCCTAGGCAAATTTCTTGCAACAAATGTTATTTTTTTTTATTAAGGAGCCCCATATTTACTCAGGATATAGTCTGACAACGCTACTTTGTGTGGAAGGAAGCCTGAATGCTCAGAATGTAATTCAAATAAAATCTCCCCTATATGTTATACTCACCCCCAGAGCAAGCGGCTCACCCAGATAGAATTTCTTCAATGGCCCCGACAGAGATGGTTTTGTCTCATCACTGGCAGACGACTGAGATAATTGAGGTGCCATCAGAGATGAGTGCATACTGGTGTTTGGAAACCAACTTCTTCTGGATTGCTATTGTGGGAAAGGTAAGCAAGAGGGAGTAAAAAAAGTAATTACTGTCTGTCTTTGGAAAGAACTGTCTTTCCAGATATTTTGATTATGGTGCAAATAGTGAGGAATGAGGAACATTTAGTTTTCTTCTTGAAATATTAGTGAAGAAGACAGTACTCGATGAACGGTCATATTGTAGGCTGTAGTTCAGTGTGTGTCATTTTCCCAAGCATGGAAATGCATTGACAGTGAATACTGCACCTGCTGAACTACTGCCTGCCATGAAAATCTTAAAGGTGCATTGCTTTTTGGGGGAAAGACTGAAGACCAGCCTGAAGAACTTCTATTTGGCCCACCTTTTCTTGAGACCAGGACCCTGTGATGCAAAAAGCAGCAATGTAACATTAATATTATAGAGCAAAAATGAAACAGTCTTTCTCTCTCATTTTATTTTAAAAAATAATAATAACAACATTTTGTTTCTTTGAAACAAGAAGTCAAGCTCTTTGTTCCATTAGCCCCATTAAAAGCATTCAGTAAAAGTACAAAGCAAAAAGAAAACAGACTTGGCTGTCGAATGATTACTGCTCAAAAACTCCTAAAAGCAACTTGCCTTTTAGGGGAAGCAAAGATAGAAACATCCTGCTTGCATGAAGATGGAAATAAAATAATGTTTAACTCACAATTTAATTTCCAACTCATGTCACCTTTTCTTTTGAGCATACAGCCAAGTTCTCTTGATTCATCTCTTTCTTTCTTTCTTTCTTTCTTTCTTTCTTTCTTTCTTTCTTTCTTTCTTTCTTTATTCATTCATTCATTCATTCATTCATTCATTCATTCATTTGATTTTCATCCCTTCTAGACTATGTCAGCTCAGGCCGGTTTTACCCTTGCTACCCAACAGGGAGTTTCTGGTGACAAATGGAGTTTAAACCTCAGTGTCCTGAGGTCCAGACTGACACTGTTCACTACACACACTGACTCTCTCTTTTATATTTGCAAATGAAGTGTGTAGATGCAGAAACCAAACACAAGCAAAACTAGTTAATTTGCAAATTTCAATAGATGCACAAATCTTCTGCTGTGACAATCACACAACATTCAGAAGCCCCTCCTAGGTGTGGAAGCACCCCCAGGAATCCATAATTCAAACCTCAGCATACATTTGGGAAGAACCTATTTCTAGGGAAATGTTGTCTGGAGAGGCCCCGTTCTCTTTTCTGCAGGTCCCCCGCTAATTACGGCTGAGAACCACGCTATCTCTACCTTCCCTAAACTTTGATTTCAGGTGCTGTCACAATAGCTTCCGGAGCAGCATGACCTCACTTTTAAGACCCATTTAACACTGTACAAACAGGAGAAATAAAGAAATATTCACAGAACAATTGCAGGGATAAGTCTTCATTGAACATAATCTCTATGAAACAATTGCTAGTCTTGTGGAATTGGACTACTTTGTTTCAATGTAAGATTTAAAACAAGGTATGATTATCTGGCCGGAAAGAACAAGGAAAAGTCAAAGATCCATCAGGAATTAAATCTGCTTTCTACTCTGGATCACTGTTTGTTCAACAGGAGTCAAAGCTAATAAATCAGGAGTGAGAGATCCATAGTCCATGGACTGGCCCCCCAACTACTCCAGACCCCAATATTCTAAAATATATTTTCATAACATCTTTAAATCTATAGTCTCTTTGTACCCTGCAAGGGGTGAGGGAGGCAATTTTGCCATGGGTTTTGGATATCATAGCACCCTTTACCCTCCAGGATTTAATTAAAACAAAAACAAAAAACGCTGGTCACAAGAGGACATGAATAGCCTTTTTCAAGATGAAAAGCTTTGTGAGAATCCCTTGAGGAGCCCAGCCTTGTCCAGGAAACCGGGGACCGCGGCCAGTCAAGAGCGGGGGGAGCCAAAGTGTGGCAGCCGCACCTTCATCCCGATCGGAGGAGCCGGATCGTAGCGGTGCTTGGAGGCGTCGGCTTTCTCTCTCTTCCCCGCCCCCGTTCCCTCCGTCCCAAACCCCTGGATCAGACAACCTTACAGCTTCGGTGGCATCCGCCTTCAGCAGAGGACGAAGGCTGCCGGAGGCGCCTGTTTACCGGGAGGAGGAGGGCGTTGCGAAATCAGCTTCGAAAAGGAAGCCCTTTTCGGTTAGGCAAGAGTTGGCAGCCCCGGGAAGCCCCCCCCACACACACACACCCTCTCTTGCTCCAAGGGAACGAGAAGCCGCTGAAGGGGTGGCCGAGGAGGCGGAAGTTTCAACAGCGAGAAACCACCGCTCGGTGGCGAGGGGCTCCTCCTCCCCTCTCCTGTGAGATGCGGAAGGGCCCCCGTGTGACACCCGGAATCGGCCCGCTTCTCCTTTCGGGCGAGGTGGTGGCTTCTGAGCAAAGCCTGGGATCCGCCCTGAAAACTCTCGCTGCTGTCCCAGGGCGGCAGAGCGACGGCTCTGGGGAAAAGCAATCCGAAGGAAAAGCAATCCGAAGGAAAAAAGTGATCAGGGACGTTGGTTGTGTCACTGATGAACTGGGGCTAAAACAGACATGACCATAATTGGGGGAGCCTCGTTCCCAGGGCTAAGTATCCAGAGAATTTGGAAAAGAGACTTTCCAGCGGGCTGTGAATCCAATTCTGCTTTAAATAATAATCATGTGTCCCCAAGTCAACT